ATGACGACAAAGGGGTTTCGATGGGGATGTTTCAGATAGACCACGTTGTATGTAAAAAACTCCCGCGGAGATATTCTTTCCTCTCTTCGGGAAATTCCGTCTCATTTTTCTTTCTGTGACTGTTGATAGATTCAGGAGTCGAGGTAACATGACATTCTGCTCAAGCGCTTCGAGTTGGGACGAACCAACCAATGATACCCTCCACTCCAGCGACTGCATAATCGACCCAACATTTGCAAGCGAATCGCCCAACACAACCCTCCTCCACTGCCACTGCCCTGGCCCTTAGGTTCCTTTGCTGACTGAGCACTAATGGAGACACAAACACAAACACGCGGCTCAGGTCAGGGGGAAGAACTGGGATCGACATAATGAATGCCTGGTAATAATAGCAAGCACTTTTTATTACTATAGCTCCAGGTCTTATAGAAACGGCTTGTCACCGCTTCGTCCTTAATGTCAAAAATCATGGTAAAGGAGACTTATCGTCAAGGGTCAATTCTGAACCATCATCTTGGTTCTAACCGCGTTAAATTGACGGGCCCCCCCTAACAAAATAATTGACAGCGCCTAGAAGGCTAGTGGAATGAGCTGGCCCGGCTTTTTAGTGACATGGGGTCCCCTGTTTTGAACCCAGATAGCTGGGTTCGTGAAATGTCATCACCAACCAACATGGGCAAAGAGACAACTTGTCTAGCTTGTTCATAAATTGTCGATTGCGCATAAAACCAATGGATGAATTCTTATTATTTGATTACTCCCGAATTTGAAACTACAGTGACATTCTGTGCTTAAGATCCCTCCAGGGTTGAGTCTGCTCTAACGTTAGATGGGGCGAAGCAAGAACCGCAAAGTTTCCTTCAAAGCTGAGTATATCATGGTATACGAAGCTTGCCTAATCTTTATACCTTGCTGTGTTCCTTTGCCGGTCCCATTGTTGACGGCTCAGCCCTGAGGGAATTCTAATCCATCGCTGAACTTCAAGAAGGCTCTCTCGTGCCTTGCATTAGCGCTCAATCCAATCGTGGTGAGGCGGCATACATATACCAAAAATCACTGAATGCCAACATGAGGTGCCACAATTGGAACGATTGAGGTTAATCGACCTGCTCGGGCCGTAGATTCAGATAGAGTTGGATGCGGGGATACAAGAGCGCGACATTCCAACGGCGTCCGTTGAGGAGATTCTGGGCTTGTGATTAGTGATCCACCAGCCATGAAGTCGTTCACAGGCATCGCGAAACGCCCCTGACCTTACAGAGTCAGGAGTACTAACATATCACTAGGATCCGCGTCATGGTCCATGACTTTCTCAATATCACCTCTTCAACGGGCTCTTTCCCCCGGTCGTACAACAAAGACATGCCTCGAGGATGATGATGATGATGATACCGATGCTAGATGCAGACGGAACAGCATGTCACCAGTGGGACCTTGACTCAAGGGCTTCGAGTCTCCCCCATAGATCACCATCGCCCTGCCGCCAGGAAGGATCTGCCCCGTTCCCGATGTTCGTTTGCTAGGTCCGGTCCAAGACACCAGATCTGAATGTGTGGAGATATTGATCCAGTCAGTGACTGGCCTAGCAGGCCAGTAACTTGCGACCACGCACACTCGACAAGAGGGAACTAACTAGCCATTGTTTACTATAATATTAAGTTTCAGTATCCAATATTATAGATCCATAACATGTGTTATGTGATTTGAACGTGGTAGTTGTGGCTGCTTATGCCACGCTATTATGATCAAGCAGATGACAAGGATACAACACGAACTGCCTCTAACGTACTCCGTATCCTACGCACACGATACAATGTCTTTGATGAACCTTGGGGTACTTTATGTCGTGTAATAATGTAGAAGTGGAAGTTTTCCTCCGCTAATGACTTGAGCTCGAATGCTCTGTCTGCGTTATCTCTTTGAGGTAACCATCAAGGGCTCTTGATTCCTTCAACAAATAGACATATGTGCCAAATCATAACAGTTACTACGAGCTGCAAATAAATTCCATAGAGTCAATGTTTTATTTCAGGGTAGTGAATCCTATGCCGATAAAGCAAGAGTCACAGCCATGAAGAGGAAATGAGACTATGTACTACATTGGGCTTGGTCAATTGTCATCGCAGACTCCTCGAGGGCAGCCTGCTGTATAGCAGGGATTTAGTTTGTTTCTTGTTTTACATTATATAACTGACGACTTATTCCCTTGGCACGTCGTGCATCTGTGACTGTTACTTCGGTGATAGACGATCTCTATGCTTATAGGCGGCTCAGCGAAGCTCCGAGTCAGGTGTGGCTTTCTCTGTTTGGAGTTTCATGCTTGTTGATCAATCTCTAGCTACAACTCAAAAGATTATGAGTGCCTTGCGCGAGGATGCCATATGAAGTAGCAAACAAGACTGGCTGGGTTGTCGCAGCAAGCATGATGTCTGATAGCTACAGGTTAGCTCAGTCCAGACCCAGCAATTGACCAAACAAGTTCATGAGGCAACTGCATTGAGATTTTACTCCCGTCAACGAGAAGGTGATGATATTTTGATGTTTGGTGGTCGCGATGCTATTCAAGGAACATACCATGATGAGCCTCGTAGTTGAGTTGATGCGTTATCAAAGTGCATGTTGTCCCACCTTCCAATTACGACACTGGCTCCCGTATAATGTGGTCTCACTCAATTTCAACCCCGCACTCATCACCATCATCAACATCATCACAAAATGCCCGTGTCAAAGGAAATAGTCCAAGATATCCTCAAGGCGATCCCAGCCCGCATCCGCGGTCCAGGCGGTGCTGTCGCCGTCCTCTCAGATGGAGCCCTCGTTGATCAGCGCGTCTGGGGTTACGCCGACTTCAACCGCAGAATCCCCATGACGGATGATACGCTGATTCCCATATGCTCGATCTCAAAACAGATGCTCTGTGGATTGGTCGCAGACCTAGAGAAGAACCCCACGCCGAAATTGGCGGAGAAGGGGGATGTGAAGACGCAGTTTGAGGAGAAGTTGAAGGAGATTCTTCCAGAGCTTGCCAAGACTGGGGAGTTGAAGATTGACCATTTGTGTAACAATCGATCTGGCATTCGCGACTACTGGGCTATCACGCTACTATGGGGTGCGAAGCCTGAGGATCCCTACTCGATTGCTGAGCACAATGAGAAGGTGTTGAAGACGATCAAGTCGACCCATTTCACACCCGGAACGGAGTACTCTTACTGCAACACCAACTTCAACATCGTAGCACGTGTCGTCGAAGCTACTACCGGGGAGTCGCTCTCAGATCTCCTCAATGCACGTATCTTTGGACCGGCTGGCATGAAGACTGCTCAGCTTGGTGCAGACACGGCGAAACTTCCACCGCCTTGCGTTGGATATGAAGGCGATGAGGACAGAGGTTATATCCCTGCGGAGAACCGCATCGAATGGGCCGGCGATGCAGGTATCATCGCTTCACTCGGCGACATGATCGCTTACGAGTCGTTCCTCGATCGCAGCCTGTTCGATCCTACCAGCTGGTACCGCGCTATCTTCAAGCCTACGTCTTTCACAGACGGTGTTCCTTCGATATACTCCCAGGGTCTTGGACACAGCCAATACGGCAGTGTATCTGGAATCGGCCACGGTGGCGCTCTTCGTGGTTTCAGGCTTTATCGAGCTCATGTCCCAGAAGAGCGTCTTTCAGTTGTGGCAATGTTCAACCATGAAGCTGATGCTGCAACACTTGTCGAACATATCATCCAGACTACTTTGGCTCTCCAGAAGCCTCCACCACCTACACTTGTTGATGCATCACCTGCTTGGCCTGGCATCTATCTTGACAATGGAACTCAACTGGCTGTCACGATCAAGAATGGTAAAAGGGGACAGATCGTGGTAAACTACGCCAACTATGCTGAGCCCGTCAATCTGACGGACCCTGAGCGCGGAGAATCTCGTGCGATGGTAGCTGTGGTCGATGGGGACAATCTTCGTATTCACCGCCTGAAGGAGAACAGAACCCTAAACGCAAAGCGCCTCAAGATCGGCGATGCGCCCGTGGACAACTCAGTTTTCACGGGAGACCTTTACTCTGAAGAGATTGGCTCAACATTCCACTGCGTGGACCAAGGTGGACTCATGTTTGGTACTTTTGAGGGGTTCTTGGGTCATAGCGCAGCTCAGTTCATGAGATATCTTGGAGGGGATGTCTGGGCCCTTGCGAACCCGAGAGGTATGGATGCGAAGCCTCCTGGGGACTGGACGCTCGTATTCCATAGAGACGAGGAGGGCGATGTTACTGGAGTGACGATTGGATGTTGGTTGGCGAGGAAGATTGAGTTTGTGAAGAAGTGAGCTTGAAGCACTGGGGCAATAGAGTCTGGTTCGAGTTGGTTATTCTGTCGCAGTACAACAAGACAGCGTTTTCTTTGGCGGTAGATACAAGAGTCATATATCTTGACACTAGAAGTAAATCGACAGAGCTGCAAACATACCAACGTTCCTCATGCAATGCTTTCTTCAGATACAGCTCATGGGTATACTGTGTATACAGGACATAATTAGAGACACCGGTCTCAAAGCTCAAGATCCGAAGCATACAACACTTCAAAATATACAGCTTGATGAATGGTCGATTTCTTAAAGTCATGATACTCAGTCCGATTTTCATGCCGCCGAAGTTATGATGGATTCACAAGCTTGTGTGGACCCTGAAAGCTTGACGCCGGTATCGGTGACCGATGGCCCGAAACCCCGCCATCAGAAATAACCTCCTCGCATGAGGGACGTGTCAATAATGAATGCCAGCTCTCATGATTTCACGAAGGCAGACTCATATAGTTTGATCATTTCTTCATTTATTTCATCTCAGAGCTATCACAAATGGCTCAAATCTAGACTAATCTATTCCGGACCGGTCGTTCCATCACAAGACGTCAATCTCATGGCGTACTAAATCCCCGTCCTATTTTGTGCTCATCTGCAAAGGTATCATAATATTAAACCGCTTTTTTCTGTCGTGACTAAATTTACTGAGGGGGAAGAACTTTCTCCTTGGCGAGAGGGGTGAATCGGAGGTAGGGCTTGACGATGCGGAAGTCGGGGAAGAGGGTCTTGGCCTCTTCGTTCTTGACGGAGGGGTGGACGATGACGTCCTCACCGGGGACCCAGTTGATAGGGGTGGTGATGCGGTACTTGTCACCGGTCTGGAGGGAGTCGATGACGCGGAGGACCTCGGCGGCGTTGCGGCCGGTGGAGGCGGGGTAGGAGAAGATGGTGCGGATGGTCTTCTTGGGGTCGATGATGAAGACGGATCGGATGGTGAAGGCGATGCCCTTTTCATCGACGTTGGTAGCATCCTGCTGGTCGATCCTGAACATAGTCAGCTCTGCTCATAACTAGATCTCAAAGAGAGTAAACTTACATGTCGTAGAGGAGAGAAACCTGGCGCTGCTTGTCGCCAATGATGGGGAACTCGACGTTGCCGCCAGTAACCTCACCAATATCCTTGATCCATCCCTCGTGGGACTCAATGGTGTTGGCAGAGAGACCAATCAGCTTGACACCACGCTTGGTGAACTCAGGCTGAAGCTTGGCGAAAGCACCGAGCTCAGTGGTGCAGACGGGAGTGTAGTCCTCGGGGTGAGAGAAGAGAATGACCCAGTTGTCGCCGATGAATTCGTGGAAGTCAATCTTGCCCTTTGTGGTCTCGGCCTGGAAGTTGGGGGCGACAGAGCCCAGACGAAGAGGAGCGGGAGCAGACATTTTTGTGTCTTGTTGTTGTTGAGTGATTATGAGAAGAAATATGAAGAGGAGAAGGTGTTTGGAGGGAGGGAGGGGTGGAGAGGAGGGGATTATATAGGGAGATGTGGTTTCTTGGGGGAGGGAGCTAGCTTGCACCTTGTTGGAGCAGCAGATTGGGAAAGAGGCTTGCGTTATTAAGCTAAGATGACGGACGGACGATCTGGGTTGAATACGCCACGAGGGAAGTGATATTGGTGATTGGAAAGCCAAGCTTGGGGGGCTCGGATGTTGGTGTTGGCGTTGCAACGGTAGCCAACCCTTCAGACCCTGAATATTCCATTCCTCCGCACTCTGTTCTCTCATAACTAACACATATTTGCTTCTTTTGACTGTACTGCTATCTAATTACTCAAGCCATCCCAGTAATAATATCTCTAACCATCTTAATGAAGTCCTAAAAGCCCATCATGACAACCCCGCCAAAAAATGGAAGCATCGCGATACAGATACAGCACCCCTCACTAAAAAGGGTGTCCCCCCCACCATGAGCAGCCCCTCACTTGACCCCAGAGGGGCAAGGCTCGGAATTGCGTGCTGTGTGTGTGTGGTGATTGGTTGGGTCTGGCGCATTGTGCCATCGGGCGCGGCAATGCTGCCATCGAGCTGTTCCTGACGCAATTGCTCTCCATGAAGAGGCGATGGGCCGGGGGTGACTGTGGAGGACGAGGTTCGGAAGTCGGGGGTTGTTTTGGGGATCGGTGATGCTTTGCTGATAAACGGCAAAAGAATGTATTGACTTGGGCTGAGTTGGAGTATTATGAAATAGATGGGATTTACATATTATGCAGCATCTAAAGGATCTTGAGGAGAGGTCACTCTGTTGATTAAACATGAAATGGTGTGTTGCGGTTCATCGCTGGATGGAACAAACCCCGCCTGTCAACAAGTCTTCACAAGACGCCATGACAGCCAAGCCTTATCACACAACCATCTCATCACATCGCGTTACGACTCACATCAAAGATGCAATCGCAATCAGATATACTACCGATATCCAAGACAACCTATACCGCCCGAGCCGACCGGTGCTGCTGTAGTGCTGACGATTTTGAGTTCAGTTCAGGGTAATCGGCGACCCTAGAAATGTTTAGAGCGTGAAGGATGAGCGAGCGAAGGTAAGGCTTGAAGCATATGACGGATCAGAACAGTGTATGAATATTATGATTGGATTTCTTTATGTATATAATGGTACAGTAGCTTGCTATGTACTCTCGTTGGGCTCCAGCACCAGTATCTTCTTCACTGTCAATGCCTTGTGAGTTGAGGGATCCGAGAGACTCTGTGCACAGCCACGTCAACACAAACTCAATACAAACAAGACTTTGGATCCCGCCTCAAGATAGCCTTGAAAGTTGGTAGCGCATCAAAAACCCAACCATGTTCCAAGCGTACGATTGAGCAAGGCGAGTCTCACTCGTGCGTCCAGATGCGGCTCCATTCATGGAGACCGCTGACACCCTGGTCCTTCAACAAACACGATCGGGCCGCGTGGCCTAATGGCTAAGGCGCTAGATTTCGGCTTTCGAGCAAATCGAGAAATCTCTAGAGATTCCAGGTTCGACTCCTGGCGTGGTCGATTCTTTTGCACTTTTACATCTTTACATCGTTTTGTCTTTTATATTTTTGTCCCGTGTTTCAACCTACCCACCCACCCTTTTGATCAATGTTTCAATTAACTTGGAAAGGAATGCTATCTTCAGCTGTTTTTGTTCCTCAATGTCTGGCTTCGCTGTTTAGCACACAGTTAGAGTTGCCAAGCTCATCTTGGCAGTGGCGTTGCTTTTATGCATGATTCTAGAACCGAGGCGTTTTAAAGATCGGTAAGCTTAAATTAGCTTCTTCAACTGAACGAACCCATCAACCAACACCGCATCAACAATAATCTTAACCCATGAACTTCATCTCGTAGAATAAATCTCGCATGACTTATCATCATAGATCGACCGCCACTTTAGATGAATTATACTCAACCGCAGTGACAATCTTTCATCATCCAGTGGAACCGCACTCATTGCGATCGCCTCTGACTTATTCGCATCTGATACGTGCGAACCCACAGGCTGAAACCAAGGGACCCATGGCATTTGCCCAGTGTCAGAAGTTAAATAATAATCCCGTGCAATAACTGCCGCCTTCTGTTACGCGTCGGACCTTTTTCCTTGTTTCTTACACACTCCGACATCAAATCATGTAGCAGGTTATTAAGGGGTAGTGGAGAATGATCAACGCTCTGCAACTTGGTTTTTGATGGAGCGATGGCATCGCAGATGGAGAGCGTTTGGATAAGGAGCCTGCAGTTTTATAGAGTACGACCCCGGGTTGTTCAATTGATGCTGCTTCCCTCTCTTCTTGTTTGTTCCGTGTTATCTTAGCCACTCTTTTTTGTAATTTTTCCTTTAAAGAACGTCGTCTTGATGATGATGTCTACAATGTCGCGGTCTCCATTGATGACGGGCGTTACCATCGCAGCCATTCTCTCTTTTTTCATCGTCGTCTTTACTTTTTTCCAAGAATCATTAGAAGTTCCGTGGGTGTACGCACATAACAAAGCAGAAGAGTATTGGGATCATACTTTCTCGTATCCGTACGTCAAAAATCTCTTTATTAGTCTCGCTCGCCCGACCGTTGGATTTCCCGGGGTTTTGATGACAGCACGCGAAAAAACTTGGCATTGCTCTTGGCTTGCGCTAACGATTGTTTAACTTTACTACAGACCACCACCACAGAACACCACCGCCCCCAACAACTCTACGCCTGAAGTTGAGGAGTTGAACTGCGAAGATCCGTATCGAAGACCAGGTTATCTTTATATTCCTGCTGATATAAACGGTACCGATCAGTATAAGAAGACACAATGGATACCCTTTACAGATGATCTGCTTGAGGCGGATGCGCCCGATTATGCTGTGTATCCTTCGGCGGGCAACGTTATCTTTAATGCGACGGAACCTGAAGAGAAATTCGTCGAACTTGCTTCTACACCGCGACAATGGCTTGCTGAGGCAATTGCTGAGAGCGACCGACGAAAGAAGGCGATAAACGCCAATGGCGAAGCCGGCGTTCAGGCGTTCGCTGAAATGAAGGATGACGGCGGCTTCGGCTGGCTCTGGGGTCGTCGCATCATCCTCTTCAGCGATTCAGTCGATCGATTCATGATGCAATTCTTCTGCGGCGAGTTCAAGCGCGGCATGAAGCAGCCCAAGCCACACACCATCGCCTCCTGCGATATTCCCGAGTTCAACTTGACATTCCACCATTGGCACTTCGCGGGCAGCATGACATACCGACCTGATTGGTGGTGGATGGACGACATGGAAGAAATATCCCTCGAAGAACGATGGGATAAATACTGGACTCCCCTGCACGACCAAGTCCGCGGTCCAAATGGCCACCCCGATCTAATCCTCTGGCAAAACGGCCTCTGGGATCAGCGCGCATTCTGGGAAGCTGGAGAAGCTAACCACGAGAAAGACGTGTATCCCATGGGAACTCGCGTTCGTCAACTAGTCTGGCAAGAAATCCGCTTCGTCGCTGCTCGAATCCGCACGTTTGTTGAGAGAATACACACTGAATTCGGAGACGCGCCTGTGATGTTCCGCGCAATGACTATGCATCGTGAGAGCGACGCTAGAGATGCGAGTATCTATGATCTTGATAGACTTGCGCGCGCGACGGCGGAGAAGGCGGGCCATGAGGTGTTTGAATGGGGACGCTTGATCAGTTCGTTGTCGATGCTGTATAAGGATCAGACGCATCCGGGCAAGGGACCTGCGAGTTGGCTTTGGGGAAATATGGTGCTGGAGTATCTTGCTAGATCTGGGGGTGCGGGTGACGAGAGGAGGAAGCCGTACTTTGAGGGCTGGGATAAGTGCCATGATAAGTTGGTGCATTGGGGTGGACGATAGACTGCATATATACACATACTTTATGACAATAGACTAATACATCATTCAAGAATAATTCTGCACGGTTCTTTGTAAAGTTGTGTAGTGTCTTGAACGTTGAAGATGCTGTCGCTGAGGCTAAACTTGACTGTGGATGGTCTCGATAAGACTTCAGATGGCCAATACACACGCTCTTAGCATTCGCTGGTAGAGGTCTACGTAAGGAGAGAACTTCAGCGGTCTTTTTAGCCGTTTGGCATATTGCAAAAGTTGACATTTTTAATTGACCAGAACGTAGTAACAAAGTAGTTCAATTGGTCGCGTAAGTTGAATAACGCCTTTCTATGCAGCCAGTCCGTTCCATCACGCCAACCCATGCCATTCACTCGTTGAAAGCTCATTTATTTTACCTTATCCATGACTAGTATAAGGCAAATTTAACTCAAACTTCATCACTCGTGCGACGAAGCTTCCACGAGGCTCTTTGAGAGTTCCTTCACCCTCGCCACCGCAGCCTCCGCCCTCTCAGCATCAGGCGCCTCCGATGTGAATACCAGCGCCAGCACAAGCGCAGCATCAAGTCTTAGCAAACACTCTTCCTGGGCTGTAACATCAGACCAGGTAGTGACGCTATTGTAACCTTTGACGAAGCTCTCGTCAAGTTGGCTAAACTCCAGGGTGCGAAAGAGGTCAATAGCTGCTGGGCCGATCAGAGCGTTGGTCCAGTCGATCACAGCGCTTATTCGTCCATATTTGTGACGAAGATTGACGTCGCGAAAGTCCATGTGCAGTAGACTTGAAGGGAAGCGTCTGAGACCTTCAAGGATGTTGTGGATAAGTTCCCAGTTCGTTATCCAGCTGGAAGCCTCGGCGACTGTTTGTGACAGCACCAAGAAGCGTCGTTTGAGTCTTTTCTCAATTGTCGAGAACACATCTTCTGTCTCCAACGCAACTGTCTTCATCGCTGGGTCAGATAACGGAGTCGAGTGTATCATCGCCGCTACACGTCCCATCTCCTCAAACGTGATGTCTGTTCCGTCATCGTCCACGTACTCGCACAGCATCGCTGGGTAACCATCTTCTTCAAGGTACTTGTATGCTTTTGGAACCGGTACGGATGAGGTTTCTAGAAGCTTGTAGATCTTCATCTCTTGCTGGATGAGATCACTTGCATCGGTATTCGGGTCATTGGCGTTTTGGTAGACTTTGACTCTGGGTACTCTGAGAACGACTGGACCATACACTGGCGATTTTGCTTTATAAACGAGACATTCAAGGCCTTCGCCGGCGGTTTTGATGTCGGTGAGGTTCTCTGCCTCGATGAAGTGCTGAGCTACCTCCATCGTGGTTTGTGAACGGTGATTTACTGAGCTACCGAGAATAATTTTGGGGGTCTGTCTTTCAACATACACTAACAGAAATATGTAGGTTTCTTGGCAGAAGGCTTTGGATGAGGCTCGTATAGCGCGTATAATTTAGCGTCGAAGGATCGTGAATGAGTCACACAAGAGGTGAGAACTAATGGAATTAGAATCCACTCACCAATCCGCCAATGTCCAATTGCACAACGCTATCTCGAGATAATATGAGTGAGAGCGATAACAAGCTACTAAACTAAGAGTAAGATACTGTCGCGCATGGATTTTATTACTATTATTGACTATGGTAAAATTAATACTGAGTTACATGACCCCATTATAGAATTCTATGAGGAGTCTTCAGAGTCTTCAGAGTCTTCCCCATGAAGACGGGCCAAGGGCGGTGGGAATACAGATCCAACCTCCTGTTTGAACGCGACCTGGTATCTGTCGGATAGTTCGCTGAGGTTCCTCAAGGTGTAGGGAACTTCAGAAACATCGAAGTTAGTCTGTACGGAGGATCGAAGTTCCGGGAATGACCCAGCTTGCTTTGCCTGGCACAATGCTACCATAGGCTGGTATATGTCCTTGTGGAGGTGTTTCGAGTCGATCCGAACCTCGACGATAGAAGCGGGCAGAAGCTCGACTAGACTTGTCGGATCAAGGTTCTTTACATAGACGGCATTGTTAGCATCATCCTTGCCGGGTATTCCAATAGAGAGGGAATCCCCACCGAGAACCAGCGTCTGTAGTCTTCGAAACATCTTGAGCGAACGGATGAGTAACGGCATCATAGGCGCCTCATAATCATCCCCATCTATTGAGTGCCAGCAGCATTCTAGGTAACGCAAGGTGGGAGAGGATTTGTGAAGTGTGTACTGGAGTTTCGAGGGTGTTACATTCCTTCCCCGCTGGGATATGTATATGAATGACTCGAGAGGGCGGCAGTTGTAAAGGATCTCTTCGAGAGCATACGATTCGACAATCATGTTGAAGAGCTTCAGGCAGGTGATGTTTGCGAGCGGCACGTTGGGAAATGCGTTCAGGTACTCATCCCACCCGATATCACCGGATTTGATGGCAATTGTCCTGATGTTGGGTGCCATTTCGAACAAGCCCTCCAGTATGCTTAGATCACGGGTGTGCGTGGAAGATGTGCTTTCGAGGTGCAGATATCGCAGATCATGCAGCTTTTCCTGGGGTTTTTCTGGGATTGTCTCATCGAAGGAGGGACAGTCTACCAAATAGAGTAGCTAGAGACTAGGCATCCGGCTTAGTAGCGTGTACGAGGGAATTTGCTTGAACCGATAAGTGAGGCGACGGATGAAGGATGTCTCCGGCAGCTGGCGGCGACCATTCAGGAATTCCGTGATCTTCTTCTTTGACCATCTCCTTACATCGATGTTGTGGTAGATGTATGGCGTCGCAGCGTTGTTCAGGACCCGACAAGCGCGAGCGAGGCTCAGAAGGCCGGTGGCGACCTCAGCAGGTGGCTTCTCCCATAGCTTTCCCGGATCAGGAGTTGCGAGTGAGTTTGGCTGGGGATAGTGACTGAGATGGTCATTTGTGCAGTGGCTACAGAGATACCAGCATATGTCGGCCAGAATCTCTGGGGGCATATGATCGAGGGCAGGCTTGTTCATGATGAGTTGGGTTGGATGCGAGGTGCATGAGGGAGAAAGCAAAAGTGAGAAAAGAGTTGGTGGGCTTTTGAGGATTTATATGAGTCAAGGTTACACAAGCAAAGAAATAGTAACGCGATGACTAGTCCTGACGCGTGAGGGAAGCGCGTGAACGCTAGGCTGCGTTGCACTGCACTGCACTGCCCTTAAGTTGACATAAGAAGCCACCCGGAAGAAAACAGTAGAATTACTTCAGAGATAAAAAATGGCCACCTAGGTTAGTAGCGAGGTCAAACTCGGCGGCTGTTGCTGAAGAGCCGTGCAACTAACTATATGTATATCTTTAGAGATGCATGGAAAAGTTACAGATACTTGGCAAGTCATTCGTTCTTGATTAATGGAGTAGCTCAGAAGCACTTTGGATATATCAGGCTGCCAGAGAATTAGTAACAACCCAGTTCTAGTCCTAGCTTCTCTCCCGCCTGAGATCTGATGTCTCCTTAGTCGACAGCCTCGCCAGAGCAGAAATTCTGGTGTAACAGTGGCTTATGGGCTCTTGCATGCAGCCTCCCCGAAATTAAGACTGATTTTATTTTGTTTAGTTGGTGTACTAAAAGTTGTTCTATTTCTTATTTCGCCATAATTTTTTTTCCTTCTTCTACCTCATCCCTCAGTCCTCCGAACTCTTTCGCCGCTGCGCATTCTCAGTCATCACCATGGGTCTACTTTCTCTCCCCCCAGAGATTGTTGATAGAATATGTAAACTCTTCTGCACTCACTGTCAGACTGAGCCCCTCTCCCACTCCCCCCACGAACAAGACCTGGTCACATCTTGTCCAAGGAAAATCTGGGAGCACAATACCCAAAAAGCCAAAGCCCTCCTCAGTCTCTCTGAGACATGTCAAGCGCTGAACACACTTACTATGCCCCATCGCTATCACCGCATCGAACTCAAGAGCGACCTCCTCTATATAAAGGAATTTATCGCACACATCAGAGGTCGTCGGCATGATGCCTTCAGACATGTTCGCAGCCTCAGCTTCGCCTATACAAAGGATATGGACGACTGTCGCAATCAAATTCCGGATAGCATAAAACCTCGTTTCAATTTCTTCAACATGGTGTTGCGTCATGTGCCACACATTCAGATTCTACACATACGCCTCAACTTGGAGCATGAAATCAAGGTCCCCAGACGAACAACGCTAGAGTCACTGCGATATCTACACATTGAGCGTGCCTATGAGGAGTCAGACGACTTCCCCCCCAGCCTACATATCTACGATGTGCTCCGACAGGCACCCAAGATCCACACATTGGTCATCCAAATCACCAGGTTGTCCTGGTCGTTCGGATCAGGGGAACTTGAAAATGTCAAGAGTCTCAAACTTGTCAATACCGTGGTTAAGCCGGAGATCCTCGAAAAGATCCTCGAATCATGCATACAGCTTGAATCATTCGTGTTCATCTTTTTCATAAAGATGCGTGACTGGCTGAATTTGCGAGTGAGTGATCTTACTACGCCCCGAACGCTGCCGCATGTGCTTTCCTTACGACAAGAAACGCTGCGGTATGTTGAGCTTTATTGGGAGCCGTATACATGGAGCAGCAAAGCGGTGGTCGTAGGTAGTTTCAAGGGCTTGACCAACCTTGAGACGCTGATCCTTGGAGGTCCAGGGTTCCGCTTCGAGCAAGCTAGGAACTTTAAGCCGTTCAAGACATGCCTTGTCGATCTCCTGCCACGATCGATCCGCCGCTTCGCCATTGACTCGTAGAGAATAAGCCTCCAGGAACCGATTGTCGCACTGGGTGAGGCGGTCAAACGGGGCGCGTTTCCGATGCTGAAGGAGGTCCGATGCTATCATGGGGAGCTTGGGGGTTGGACGGATTTGGAAGGGGACGTCCACAGGTCCATCTGTAACTCGACAGGAAGCCAAGCTTGGGGCGACAGGGACAAGTCCTCACGCAATCTACTATCGCGGCTGAGCAGGGGATGTAACGTATCGTTCAGTGCAGAGACTAAGGGGCTTTTTGAACATGATGCTGGGTCCTAACGGTGAACAACTTGGCAGCCAACTCAAACGGGGTACTTGTGCAACGCTCTTGAATTATGTTGGCTGGGATAGAGTTATAGATGATGCTAAGAACTTTTCTTTCAAAAAACAGAAGGAAAGAAGGAAAGAAACAAATAATAAAATGTTGTGATCTTGGGAAATAAGGTGGAAAGCCGATAAAACTATTCAGAGTCTTCCCATGTTTGAGGAGTATAAGAAGGAAGAACAAGTTTTGAGTTTTGAGATCAGTATATTTAGGATGAATTTGACTAGACATACAAAGGTTTAGGAGCGTCTTAGGTAAACGAGATGTCTAGCGACTTCCTAAATTCTACAAAAAGCTCGCTAATAACCAAGTCGGTGATGTGCTTCCATAGCCGCTGCTGCTCCAGGAGTGGCTGAAGGCGTCTCAGCTGGGGGAGCTGGGCCTGCAGCGGGAGTACTCTCAACAGGGGGCGCTGGAGGAGCCTCTTCCTCAGCCGGAGTAAACGCTGCGTCCGCCAACGGAATCTCTCCAACTGTTCCGCCTGTAGCTGCACCAGCATCGACGTTGGCCAGGGCACCGGCTGCCTTCTTGGAGAACTGGACCAAGTTTTCCTCAGAGGGGCTGGGGTTGGTCAGTACCTAGTTGTGTCGTACAGAGTGGAGTCGCACTTACGGGTTGATGGCCATCACCTGACCGATCTGACAGTGCGGGCCGGTAGCACAGTACAAATAGATGGGTTCTGTGTTGTTGAGAGGCACATTGAACGTCCCGACGGTTGTCTGGCCAGCCTCGAAGGGAATATGTCCACTGTGGATGACTCCAGACTGTGTCGCCTGGAGTGGCTGGCATGGGGAGTCTTCAGAGCTTTGAGTGACGGTATGATTTCCATTACTAAACTGGAACTGGATCACGTCTCCGGCTGCTGCTCGAATCATGTTTGGAACGAAGGTATCTTGAGAACCGCCGACGACAACGGGAATGATTCTGTTGGCTCGTGCTTCGAGGGGCGGATTTCTCTTGACTGTCAAGTATCAGCATAGTTCTTCGGTTGAGCGCTCTGAGAACTTACTCGAGATTGGCTGGTGAACTTCAAGATCATGAAGTTCCCGTGGGGACATTTCAACGAGTGGCATAGCCGTGACGACTGCAGCCCACAAGAAAGTCTTGGCCAACATCTTGAATATTATCAACAAAAAAGAATCTCAAAAGTCGGTTGGTAAGGAGCGTATCGTAAAGAAGGTCCAGCCAACTATCAAAAATTGAAATTAACAATTATAAATCCTCACCAGGAGGGTAAAAAAGAAGAGAATTTCGATTAACTCAAAGAAGGTAAGAAAGGTAAAAACTGATCTGTGAATCAGACCATTATTCCCGACTGCAACTCAAGATCATCTTATAACATTTCTAAATCACTGATGATCGGGCACACGCCGACCTCATCTCTGGGCCGAAACTCGAGCTGAGACAAGAATTCGAATAGAGTTGCTCTTCTGCAAGATATGACAAATTCACTAGCAGCCAAGATGTTTTGCAAACTTGTCTTGTTTCAGAGTACGGTTACGTGGTGTTTCATCAACCACTTTGACATATAGCCGAGATACGGTTTTAAGTAATATTTCATGTTTTGCGCCCTTGATTCATGTTTTAGAGTGATATTTCATGTTTGTAATCATTAAGAACAGTGACAAATTGATATAGGGCTTTTGAAACGGGGCATGCGTGGCTTTTCGGCTTGTGGGCGGCTTGGCGATCTTGATAGAGGTTTGATGTGATGTTGCATAAGTGATTCATCTGATGAAGCGGTTTTAGTGACCAGATGAGGAGGTTTAGGGGCCGAGAGGTTTGAGCCGCAGGAGGTGGAATGATTCGTGATCGCCTTCAAGCTTGTTTCATCAACATCAGGGAATGGAGGGAGATAGTCGTAATGTTAACCATAAATACAGAGCACTGCCACTTTATAGACTTATCGATTAAGTTTAATATCTGCTGCGCATGAATGTAAGTGTTACAATTTGTTGGCATGATGTCGGAGGGTGACTATGGATGTGGCCTTGAAGGAGATGAGTACAGCAAGGTCACACCAGCCAGCCACTTTACTTATCGCAAGATAAGACAACTGCTTACCAAACTCACTTGAACCACTTAAGAACGCTCATCGTCATTCTCTATGAAAGCAGAACGAGATTTACCCCGTGGGGGCATTCCCATCCCCGCAGAACCCCAACCCCAATTAGCCTGATCTTTACTCCCCCGCAAAGACCCCAATCTGAACATCGTCACTTTACCGCTACTAACTGCCAATTCAACGCTTTCGTTGGTGGAATTTTATTTACCGATCGTGCCTTGACAGAACTAACGTTAGTGAGGTTCCATTCCCGGGGATTCATCGAGGATTATATTAACTACGGCATCGAATATCCGAATAAGCTTGCAGATAATATACATCCTCAAATCTGATTTGTGGATTTTAACATGTGAGTTTTGATCTTGTTATATGCTTTGGGGGTTTAAATGAAGGAGGATCGGCCAATGCGAGGTTGAACTAGTAGATTTATATAGCAGCAGCAAGACCGTAGTATTTTGGTTTGGACCCAGTGTCACGTATCTCGACATGAAGGGCTTCATCATCAAGACGGCAATTATTGCCGCGACTCTCTTTTCTACTGCGACTGCATCCGCCAAAGGACCCGTTGACACGTACAAGAAATGTCAACGGCAGACAAAGCGTGCTACAGAGGGATGTCCCAAGGGCACTCTCTTCGTAGCAAAGGATGATCCACGAGCAGACTTTTCCTCCATCCAAGACGCCATCGACTCGCTTGGTAACACAACAACCGCAGGCCACATTCTCATTGCGCCTGGTAATTACAGCGAGCAATTGAACGTCACCCGTCGAGGACCCCTGCATCTGATCGGCGCTTCTAACAAACCTTGGGTCAAGGATCTCTACGCTGATATTGATGTTAACATCACGGCTCAGAACGACGTTCAGATCTGGTTCAACCTGGCGAATACGAACAATGGCAGTTTGAGTGATAATGTGTTCACGAGTGTACTCACTGTTGGACCTAATTTCAACGCTACTTTGACTGGATCTGGACCTACGGGTTTTCCAGTGCCTGCGGACACGCCGTTTGGATGCACGGATTTCAGGGCGTATAACATTGACTTCAGAAATGATTTTGCGCCGAGATCTGTTGGACCTGCGCATGCGGTTGGTGTGAGCAGGGCTAATGCGGGCTTTTACTCTTGCGGCTTCTACTCTTACCAAGATACTGTAAGTCAAATCCCACCTTTCAATAACTGGTAGCTGACTTTTTAGGTCTACGTTGGAAAACTTGGAAACGCTTACTTCTATGATAACATCATCGCTGGAGAGACTGACTTCCTGTATGGCTTCGGCACAGCATGGATTGAGAAATCAACATTATCTCTCCGAGGCTGCGGAGGCGGCATCACCGCTTGGAAAGGCACCAACACGACCTTCACCAACAAATACGGCGTCTACATCGACAACTCGCAGGTCATCCCCGTAAACTCCACCATCGCTACAAACTTTGTTGGAAAATGTGCCCTCGGTCGACCATGGAACTCACAGCACAAGTCGATCTTTATGCAGTCGTACTTTGATGCTGTGATCTTGCCTGCTGGGTATATCGAGTGGAGCACGTCGACACCGAGAGTTGATAATTATACTTTCATGGCGACGTGGAATGATCATGGGCCGGGATATAATGTTGAGGCTGAGAAGGCGAGCAATGTTACGAAGGTTTTGACGGATGCGGAGGTCAAGCCTTATAGAGCGCCTGCGGATGTATTCCAGACTCCTGAGGGGAAGTTTGGACACGTCAAGTGGATTGACAAGAAGGCTCTGTAAAGACTCTCAGCTCGACCAGGGTTACAGCAATTTGAGATATCCCGCGGTTCAATACATCACATGTGATTCACCACCATGACTCGGCATCATAAGCTCAATTCTCTACCTCCTTTAACCCGAATGTCTCAGTTTGTCAGCCTCAAATGGCATGTCTCAAACTATCACAGCTCTCAGATATTTATTCCCGCCTTACTTTCGTGATTTGACGTGAACAAGTTACCGCTGCCAAGTGAATGAGGATCCCCAAAGCGAGATGAGGTTTGAAGCCATGTGCAGGGGGTGTAAACTCTGTGTCCAATGGCGCGTTTCATTTCTTTAATTGCCCCTTATTTTAGTTCGCGGGGTAAAAGACGCTAAGATTAGTGGTTGGATGATTCAGGATCGGGAGGTGATCTTCACATGAGAAGAGCGAAGATGGTACGATATATGAGCATTGGCCTCTACGAAGAATCAGATATATGATCAAAGTATACAATTAAGCAATAATATAAAAAGTATCTCGAATGAGATACCGCTTCAGGCGGAATAGCTCCCCGAAAGTCTGTGATTATCTATGCCCATATCAAGTAGGTAGGTAATACAATCGACACCAGCGGCAAAGCAAACCAGTTACATCCCGACAAACAAGCCACTTCCTCTTCCCCGGAGTAAACGTTCCCGGTAATAAGAATCCTTCAACAAGCATCCAACAACACATAAACACCCCCTGTCTGATCTACAAATCTGACATCTCCCTCCTCCACTTTCTCCTCTTCATCTCACAGTATGAGCTGACGGGACAAATTCTGCCTTCGAGGCGCCTTCGAAATGGGCTACTCAGGCGGCGACGATCAACGAAGCCCGTCGGTAACGATACCC